TATCTCAACTGACAGCATGCCTGCAAAAGGGCTCGGCCCGAATGACGGAAGCTTTTGGTAGGCTGGAGGTTGGAGGCTGGTCGAGAGGTGTTCTTCTTTTACTGCCTTTAAACCCAGTGTAGCCACACCTTTTCAACTGTGCTGCCTATAACCACACCTACTGATGGAGCGGTTCCTCCCTCACCTCTCACACCAAGGACATCTTTTATACCTGTATATAAGCATGAAGAAGTTGTGTTTGGAGGTTTGCAGTCTGTTTCCACCTATTGTTAGTATGACATGATTTGGGACAGGTGCCCTTTCTGACACGATCCATTCTTGGGGGAAAAGGTGGTATTTAACTGTATGTGTGGCAGGCAGGAGCCCTACCACCGCACAAAACTAGCCATCTACCTGCTATGAAGAAAATTTCCACATTGTTGGTGGTTACTTTGTTCTGAGGAAGATGATGATATGGAAAGCACAAAAAGATTCAGAATACATTTTCTGTTTGATGCAAAAATAAAGCAGCAACAATCAAGCATTACATTACACATCTTATTAATCTAAAGTAGCTAGTTTTTATCACTGGACCAGAAAGACAAATAACAGCAGGTTGGTCTTTGTGTTTTACACAATTTTTTTGACAAATTCAATTGATAAAATTATTAGAAAAAGTAAAAAGAAAAAAGCTAAAGTATTGGCTTGTTGACATTGGCTTGCAAGACATGTGGAGAGTCGCTTTCAAAACTTAAAAGTGAAGCCATATTTGTCAATACGTTTGTCTGCATTCCCTTAAAATTCAATTGTTAGCGTGCCAGACAGCCAGCCAGCTGTAGACTTACTCATGGTCTGTGCTCAGTGAGACTGGTCTGCAGCCAACTAAACTGACCGAAAATGAGTCCTGGAAGTTTCTGAAGATGCTGATATTTATGAGAACGTGTCCTTCGTTATACCTTTCATGTCACCTGGTGCATCTTACCAGCTGGTGCTTTGATTTTCAAATTCTAGTTTCAGCTGACGTCTTGATGCAGATCATGGTGTGTTTTCACTGTGTCACAGCTGTTAAAAAGTAAAACATCTGTGGGCCTGAGGTAATCTGCTCTAATAAGCTGTTTCCTTTTTCCTCTTTGTGACGTTCAGGTGCAGAAGCAGGTCCACCCAAACCTCACGGCAAAGGAGGACGCGCTGCAGTACATCGAGGAGCTGATCCTGCAGCTGCTCAACATGTTGTGTGTAGCCCAGCCTCGCTCTGTGCAGGATGTAGAGGTGAATAAATATCCGGGGACGGAGTCCAGTTAAACTGTCAGTTGCTCTGAGACCTTTCGATCCCCACATTCAAACACAAATAAATGTCTTTTTCCTTTCTGTCCAGGAACGTGTCCAAAAAACATTCCCCCACCCCATAGATAAGTGGGCAATAGCAGACGCACAGTCAGCAATCGAGAAACGCAAGAGAAGGAACCCCTTACTCCTGCCTGTGGACAAGATACACCCACTGCTTAAGGTACAGGACGAGTGTGGAACTAAACATTGGTAGTGCTTTTAACTTTTTAACAAGGTCCTTTTTTGTGGACTAAGACTTCAAGTTGGACTTCAAGTTGTCTCCTGTATAATTTGAAGGGTTTAGTTTTGTTTTCTGTTCATCTTCTCACATTAACTCCAGCTTTGGGTTATAATATTACAAGTTTTGATAAAATAAAATATATATATAGATTTATAGAGATATATAGATATATGTTTTAATCTGCTGAATTTAACGGGTTTTTTTTTAAACTTAATAGATAAATGTTAGTTATTTTGCTTCATTTTTCAGCCACCCATTTGTTACTGTTCTTTTAGAAACTAGTGCCAAACTTTTGACATAAAATGTATTAGTTTTTTTGCAAACCTAAAGGAATGAACTACAAATGAGAATGCAGCTAAAAGTTTTGTAAAGACTGTAGTCTCTGTGCTTTCTGTGACAGAACATTAGTCTAGTTACTAGGAAACATTGAAAACATAAATTCGCACACACTATTTTGACTGTTGTTAATTTATTAGACCTGTTAATCATCCAGATTCAGACTCCAGAGAAGAGTTGAAACCAAGGCTATAGTAAAGGTTTTGTTTTAAATTGTGTTTAACAGGAGGTCTTGGGCTACAAAGTAGACTACCACGTTTCCCTCTACATCGTAGCAGTGCTTGAATACATATCAGCAGACATCCTGAAGCTGGCAGGAAACTACGTTGGCAACATTCGGCACTACGAGATCAACCAACAGGACATCAAGGTGTCCATGTGTGCAGACAAGGTGAAGAACAAACACTGTCAAACATCCGGAGCTGCTCTAGATCCAGCGCCTGTGTTTGGTAATGACATACTTGCTGTTGGTTCCCAGGTGTTAATGGACATGTTTGACCAGGAGGAGGACATCGGCCTGATGTCTCAGTCCACAGAGGAGCCGTCCTCCTCTGGGGAGCTCACGTACGATGACCTGGTCAGGCTTGAAATCGCAGAGGAGCGTCAGTACCTGCGAGAACTGGACCTGATCATCAAAGTGTTTCGCCACCACTTCCTGTCCAACCCTAAAATATTCGCAGCTCAGGTATGATGGATGGCCAGAAGAATAGATAGATGGAATGATGTAGAATGATGTAGAGGGCATGTTTCCAAGGGGGATTTTGAATCATTGTCATGATAACTTAAAAAATATATTTAGTTTTATTAGTTGTTGTCAGGCCTAGATATGCTATATATTGCTAGCTTTTGGTCTCAACTATAATCTTTCTTGGCTAACATGTCATTTTGTGAGGTAACTTTGTCTTGTTTCCTTGGCTATAGATCAGGCATTCTTCAGCCCTTACATTGAATACAGTAGCGTTTCCTAACTCAGCCTAGAGTCAACCTGTAAACACAGTCAGGTTTTCAACTGTAAACCTAATTACAAAGTCATTTCAGTTAAGTCAAGCTTAAGACTCTTTGAAGATTACTGCTGGAAGTCTGTAATCGGCTTGCTAGTAATCAGCCTCACGGACTTGTCCTAAATGTGCTTACTCGTCAGAAACCATTCTTTCTGACATACTGTTTTTAAATGTTATTCAAGGGAAAAAAAACAAGTGATAATTCCTGTGTTAAATCTGTTGTGAATCAGCTCTTTTTAAATTCCTAACATACCATACCAGAAAATAGTTACAGAATGATGTTAAGCTATGTGTCTTCGGTTGAGCTGAAGTGAATGGAAAGTTGACTTTAATGGCTCGGTGTGGCTTTGAATATTTTGGGGTTTGGGTAATTTTGCGGTTTCATTTGGGTGAGGAGGATAAACCTTTGTGAGGCACTGGGGAGTGCAGAACATGCAATTATACAGAGACACGAACAACATCTGCAGCCCCACGCCAGAATAACTTCAATTATGTCTGTCGCAACACAGCCTACTGTAACCTGGAATAATGTCGCAACGTCAGGACAGTGTTACAGCCAAAGAATGACAGGAGTGGAGTTTCTGTTCACATTCCAGCAGTCAATAATCCCTGTGGACTATTTTAGGGTCCAACTATTTCTTCCAAACTCAGGATGTTGTTGTTTATAGTGTTTTTTTTCTTTTCTTATTAGGTTTGATCCAAGGAAGGCTGAACTGAAAGCAAAAGCAAACACAGTTCAACAGAGTTATAGTTTTTTACTCATTGCACTGAAGTTACCGACTTTAAGTTCTATAGTCATAAGGAATTGGTTGCACGGCTGATCTTTGGTCTGCTCGGTACATGAGGACCAGCTCCGCCAGCGATTTCTTTCTGTGCATCTAAGGTTGTTTTACTTCATCCCGTGTCTGACTTTTTTCCTCATGTTTCCTGTTGCAGGACGTTGAGGTGATCTTCAGTAACATCCTGGACATCCACGAGCTGACAGTGAAGCTCCTGGGTCTGATCGAGGATGCTGTGGAGATGACGGCTGATGGCAGTCCTCATCCACTGGTGGGAAGCTGCTTTGAAGATCTGGCAGAGGTACACAGTCTTGGGTTAACTACAAATAGCCGTTTACCTTTTAATATATTAAAGTAGCTAATTAATAAAATTGTCCAAGTCGGTGCGTGAGGGTTAACTCAATCTCTTGTGTTTTTAGGAGCAGGCGTTCGATCCCTACGAGACTTTGTCTCAGGACATCCTCAACAAGGATTTCCATGAACATTTCAACAACCTGATGGCACGACCGACAGTTGGTCTTTACTTTCAGGTAAACCATTCAAATTCCAGGTCGTTGTTTAATCAGGTTTGAGACGGTAAGTGAAAAATAGAAACATCAGAGCTGCTGTGGAGGATTCAGTGACTGTTTTGCTCCTTTTTTCACATCATTTACTTTTTTATGAAGACCGTGTGGCTGCGGTCATCACTTTGTAGCTGTAATCTCTATTAATTACATTTTCTTTTAAAAAAATTAAACAATTTACAATTCATTTGTTTGTGTTAGGGAATGTCATTTTATGAATGTAAACCAAAAAAACTCAGTAATTGTAATGGTATTGTTAAATGAAAAAGTTTTTGTTTTAAATATGTACTGTTTACACAAACAGGTCTTTCCCATGTGTTTGCAGCGGGCAAACACTGTGGGCCTTTTTTTCTCTTTGAATTGAACACAGGTTTCTGGTGAAATTCCTCATCATAAAGCCTGAAAGCATGTCATGACATATTCAGTGTGCAGCGTAGGTTTACACACTGCTGCAGCATTGTTTTATTTGGACATTCCTCACAAGAAAAGCATTGAATTATGCTCGGTGGGGTGCACTCCGACAGCCTTTGAAGATGAAATATTTTCTGGTGTTTTCTCAGGCCAAGAACGAGGGCAGAGTCTGGGTCTGTTCACATGCATCAATAGCAGGAGCTGATGCTTTTATTTTGGGGTTTTTACACTGAATAGATGTAGTTAGATGTTTAGAAATGAGCTGTTTTCTGCCTGCAGTATGTCAGTCACTACTTCTGTTATGGGGTTTTAGAGAGTCACACCATTACAATCGGACAAGCTTTACTTGTAAACATACAAATATCTGTCAGTACTGGTGAAAAACAAAGTCAGCTTGGTAGATGGTTTAACACACAAACAACTTATAAAAACGCCAAACTCTCTTTGCTTCTCTCCCCTAAAAACCTTAAACCAATGAATCACTGGTGTGTGTCTAGTTACAGACTTGTGTGCTTGGATCATCAGCACCAGTCCCAGGGGCAGATGTTGTAATGGCTTTACCTCTCCCCTTTGCTCTGCTTACGCCCAAAACTCCACCCCTCCATGGATCAAACTGCTTTTGACCAGCTCTGGATAATCTTGTTTATTTTGTTTCAATCCCTGGCCTTTTAGGTGCCTTAGCCATACATTTCTGCACCTGCTTTGAAGCATCATTGACTGTTTACTCCTTTAAAGTTTGATCATTGTTACAAACATAAACATTTCACAGTGGCCATCATTTAAAACCTCTGCTTTACCTTCAGTTTCTGTCTCCCCGCATGTTCTTCATCTTTTACTCTCTCCATCCTTCTTGACTTTCTCTCTCACTTCCTCCCTGCCGCCCCGCCTCTTCCCCCTTGGTCAGATAGATGTGTCTCTGGAGCACTCAGCCCCTGCACTCTGCAGCATTTGGTATTGTGGGTAAATTACATAGCCTTTTAAAAATAGAACAGGCAGCCACCCTGCAGGCCATTTTTCTCCTTGGGAAGAAGAGGAGGAGAAAAGGGGAGGAAAAAGGCGGAGGGAGGGATGAAACACATTTGGCGTTGAAAATAAACAGTGGATGTTGACAGCAAAAGATGCCTCTGCAAAATGGTAACATGTTGTTCCTGTGATCATTTTCTCCCCTCTTTTCCTCTCTCCTCTGTGTGGGTTTATGTGGAGGCAGCTGCCGAAGTGATGCATGGTCTCAGAAAAAAACATGACGTAATCAAAACTATTTACAGCTCATCAGCTCTGTCAAACACATTAGTCAACTATCACATTAATCAGCAAACGTTTCCATGTTTAATATCAACTTCATTTTAATAGCCACCAACAGTGAAGAAACATGAGATAATGTTGCCCTGTGAATATTTAAAGTAGATTTATCAGATGATTAAAAAACACTGATATTTTTAACTTTGAGCTTTTTATTCATCAATGTTGTCTCTTGGCATTTTTTAAACTTTGGCTAAAACTTTTAGCCTATCTGGGCTAATAAGTAATCGTTGTTTTGATTGTTTCTTTGGTACCTTTTAGGTCCATTTCACTATATCTTTAGCTATTTGCCTGGGCCTAATACATTTCCGTACTAATTATCCTTTTGGCTCTATATTCCCATCACTGGGTTTTTTTGTTTTTTGTTTTGGTTCTCTGTAACATTTAAACTATTTCAGTATTTTCTTGGCTCATTTATCAATACTTGCCATTATCTTACTATTATTTCTTTTATACTCTTAATTACTTTTAAACTTCTTCCTGTGTATAAAACACTTTGTGACATTGTGTAAACCTGCAGGATGCTGACATCTCAATAACATGATAAATAAACTCGGGTCGTCATTCCACAGCTGTCCATCAGTGTGCGGAATAACATCATTCCACAGCTGTCCATCAGTGTGCGTCAGACAGCTAATGCTTTTCTTTTCCATGCAAACACACACACACACACACACACACATACAAACAAACATGCAGACACAGACCCCCCCTGCTCAGACAGTGTGGCCGCTGCTGTGGAGTCTGAGTAGTAGCTTATTGATTCTGAATCGTCTATCAGGGGAACAGGAGATTTAAATGGATACCATGACGCCCCCTCTTCTCCCTCCACTTTCCCTCCTTTTCCTCCCTCTCTCTTTTCTATCTGGCCTGTAGATTTACACAGACAGCCTCCCTGCCGTCCCTCCCTCAAATCTCTCCTCAACCCGTAGCCTGATCTGTTCCAGCCTGAGTTTAAACGCCACATCCATGATCCCATTGTTCTTCTCTGACACCCTTCTAAAATGGAATATGATAAAATTAACAATTTAAGTCACAGAATTCCTCTACTACAAATTTTTTTGGGCAACATGTCAACATAAAGAAATCAGCAATGTGCGATTAATTGTATTGTCGACTAACAGGTGCTCTGTCCTGATTTGATTTTTGACAGTTATCTAAATGCGATTTTAATTTTTGAAATTCACAGACAAAGACTTTGAGATTATGAACTTTAGATAAAAATGTTTGTGACACAGTAAACTGGGAAGTCAAGGGCATATTTCACTCAAAAGTCGAAACATATGTAGTTTCTTTTGAAACCATCAGCCATGTTTGGAGACTAGGACTATTTTTATTGAAAGCCTTATGAGAATTTTGTGTGGATTTTAAGTGTGAATGGGCTAATTTTTTGTATAAAATGTTGAATAACATTCTTCTTGGTTTATATATATCAATACACTGATGCAACATTAACATCTATGATTGGTTGTTTGTCTCCAGTCAGTTGCGGAGGGTTTTAAGGAAGCGGTCCAGTACGTCCTTCCTCAGCTGATGATGGTTCCAGTTTACCACTGTATGCACTACTTTGAGTTACTGCAGGTATGTTCTCGTTCTGACAAACTATAAAAATACCACTTGCTGTTAATAACATTTATATACAAGTAAACCCCTAATGTGCTTTAAACAAAGTCCCTGTGTTTGTCCCCATTTTTACAGCAACTTCAAGAACGCAGTGAAGACCAAGATGACAGAGAATGTCTCAAGCAGGCCATCACAGCTCTGCTTAACCTTCAGTGCAGCGTGGATCGTATCTATGCCAAGCACCAGCCTCGCCGTAAACCAGGGTACGTCTGCCATGTTAATATTTATAAAAAAGTTAATCTTTTCATTCACTATTTTAAAGAACTTTTACAGAACCAAACATTGTTTTTGGATTCCCAAGTTAAAAAACCTTTTAGACTCAAGTCAAAGATTGACAACTAATAAATATTGTGTTTTTATTTATTAGTTTATAGTTTATTAATGCATTGCTTTTCACCACCCACAGTGAACCCATGTACCGCCTATACAGCAGGCAGGTTCGTAGCAAGCAACTCGCCATCAAACGCATGAACGAGATCCAGAAGAGCATTGATGGCTGGGAGGGAAAAGACATTGGTCAGTGTTGCAGCGAGTTCATCCTGGAGGGTCCGCTCTTAAGAGCCGGTGCCAAACACGAGCGACACAACTTTCTGTTTGATGGCCTCATGATCAGCTGCAAGGCCAACCAAAGCTCCCGGCTCCCAGGATCAGGCAGTGGAGCGGAATACCGCCTGAAGGAGAAGTTTGTTTTGCGGAAAATACGCATTGCTGATCGCGAGGACTCAATAGAGCTGCGACATGCATTTGAACTGGTAGGAAAAGACGAAAACTGTGCTGTTTTTTGTGCACGAACAGCAGAGGAGAAAGCATCCTGGATGGCGGCGCTGATGACTCTTCAGTACCGCTCCACTTTGGATCGCATGTTGGACACAGTGCTACAGCACGAGGAGCAGGCACATCCTCTAAGACTGCCCTCTCCGGAGGTTTACCGCTTTGCTGTGCAGGACTCTGAGGAGAATATAGTGTTTGAGGACAAAGTTCAGAGCAAAACAGGCATTCCCATAATTAAGGCGGGCACAGTGGTCAAACTCATAGAAAGGCTTACCTACCATATGTATGCTGGTGAGCTGCTCGGAAAAATCGACTCATTAAAACTGTACCTTTAAATGATGTCTAGGCTTAGTATAGTATAGTAAGTTCAGTTTTTCATTTATCCTTCTCATCTGTTTGTAGATCCCAATTTTGTCCGAACGTTTCTTACCACCTATCGTTCATTCTGTAAACCACAGGAGCTTCTCACCCTGCTAATAGACAGGTAAGATAACGCCAGATCAACCTTCTTCTCATCTACTGCAGTATTTCTTTACAAAGTTCTTTATCTTAAGCCATTCTTTAGAATATTTTACAAGGTGTGGGGAAGGGAAGGTATAGGTAAAGAAATGAAGGCTCGTGGGAGAGTAGATTGGTCAGATTTGTAAATCAACTGTGGTTTTATTGATGTGTTCATTGAAATGTTACCCTTATATTGGGTGTATATTAAAGACCATAGAACCAAGTACAGAACCCCGTGGAACATCAGAAGTACAATTAGGACAGGTGTGTCATAGTTACTTAGTAATTTGACTTTTTCAAACTGTGCACAAACAGACAGATGGGATAGGAACCAGGAGAGCAAACTTTCATATTGTTTTTTTTTTTGAACCAGGAGAGCAAACTTTCATATCGTTTTTTTTTTTGTTTGAATTTTTTTTCTTTTTTCCCCAGGATTGAGATCCCTGAGCCAGAACCCACTGAGGAGGACCGACAAGCCCTATGGAACGGAGATCAACCAATGGCAGCTGAGCTCCAGAGGTTCCGAAAAGAATATGTTCAGCCAGTGCAACTTAGGTACAAAGTCTTAACTAGAAACTAGAAAAAAACAAACATTAAAAAAACGTCTTTATTTACTGACATTTAGGAACATTATGGGCAAATAAATAAACTACCATTACAGATGTGTTTAACTATAGATAAACTGTCAAACCTTATCTTAACATCTATGTAAGTGCATTCTTTTTCTTAGAAAAAAAACATCTCTTTTTTCCTAATAAGGGCTTTGAGATGCCACACAGACTCTGTGTCTTTGTCTTATGTTGTTTGGCTCTTTTACACTGTCTTCCTCTTAAGGCCTGAACGTTCTCACTGAGCCGCAGAATTACTTTTGTATTAGACTTCTTATCCTTATAAGGAGCAGGAGAGTCGGGAATAGTCTCTTAAGTGTCATTAAAATCTGAAAGCCTCTCAGTATCAAACTCCAGTGAAGGGCAGCAGCAGTAAAGTAGGTAGGCAGCTTTTGGTTTTAAAGTTGATGTGCTCAAACATGTTAGACACTACGTCTTCAGAATGAAGGGATTAAACTGTCAGTCACCTCAAAACATTCAGAAAATATTAATAAATGACACGTTCATACATACAGGACCAAGCTGCTACCAAACAGTCTTTGTTGTAGCGTGGTTGCTTTGTTGTTAGGTAAACACTGTGACTTAGTTCCACTGTTTATTCTATTTTTAACCAGGACACTCGGAGTAGGTGGAAATATGTCTTATTTCCTAAAGAACGCAAATGCCCTCACTATTTTAGTGTTTTTACCAGTTAAATATAACCAACTGATGAAGACAAGAAGAAGAACAAAATACTCTGGCATCTTGCCAGAAACTGTCCAACTCTGACCACTGTCTGTTTTTTTGTTTTTGTTTTTTTTTAAGTCATTTAGTCGGCTGTCCCCCTGTGTCCCTGCATCACACTCCTAACATCAAACACAGACTCAAAAAGATGAATATTTTCTTTTGCTTCACAGGGTTCTGAACGTTTTCCGTCAGTGGGTTGAACATCATTTCTATGACTTTGAGAACGACCCAGAGCTGAGGAGTCGACTTGAGGAATACATCACCAGCAAAATTCAACTGAGAGGTCGGTTTATAATCATTAAATAATCAGTTAAAACCACTTCTTAAATCCTTATTTCTGCCTTGATCTGATTGGATATCACCTGACATGCCTAAATATATATAATTTTCTTTAGTTTATATTATTCATCAATCATCAGTGACATTTGTTTCAATGTATAAACCTTTCAGGTAAGTCAATGAGAAAGTGGGTTGAGTCCATCAACAAGATCATAAAGAGGAAGCTGCAGACGCAGTCCAACGGCATCAGTCACAACATCACCTTCGAGAGCCCACCTCCTCCCATCGAATGGCACATCTGTCGGGCAGGACATGTGGACACCTTTGACCTCATGACCCTTCACCCCATTGAGATTGCACGCCAGCTGACTCTGCTTGAGTCGGAGCTTTACAGGTGAGTGGCAACTCAGAGACCTGTTGTCAGACAGAGGCCTGGTGGAGGTTTGGATTGTTTTGCTTTCAAATTCAAAAAATTGTTTCGCAGAGCTGTTAGACCGTCTGAGCTGGTCGGCAGCGTCTGGACCAAAGAGGACAAGGAGAAGAACTCGCCAAATTTGCTCCGCATGATCCGTCACACCACCAACCTCACGCTGTGGTTTGAGAAGTGAGTCAGATAGAAAGAACACACATTGATTAATTAGGCACATTTAAGGATGTAAAAAAACAGTGTCCATACATTTGCGTGCATCTTCAGGTGCATCGTGGAGACGATGAACCTGGACGAGAGGGTGGCCATTTTATCCCGGGTCATAGAGATCCTGCAGGTTTTCCAGGAGCTCAACAACTTTAATGGCGTGCTGGAGGTGGTCAGTGCTATCAACTCCGTCCCTGTCTACAGACTCGACCACACCTTTGAGGTGGGTGGACTACATTAATTTTCTAATCAATGCAACTGCTTTTACCTGAAAAATTATTTATTTTAGTTTTTCTAACTATCTAATTTCACAAAATGAAAAGCAGACGGAAAGAGAGAGAGAGAGTCTGATGAAGATAAGGCTGCTTGTTAGCGGCCAGAAGATTTATAAATTTTAAAGTCATTGCAGCATGGCAGTGCATGTTCTCATAATAAAAGTTAATAACAGAATTGTCCCCTTGAATTACACAATTTAATTTGAATGATCAAAAATAAATATAATAATACATAAAAACAGCTGTTTAAAGAATGTGATTTTCACATGAGGTAAAAAAAATCTTTAATATTTGACATGATCACATCAGTTCACACTAAAACATTTAATAATGTTTGACAACTCAAGCTTGGCATATGGCTCCAAATACATATTTGTATTAAAAAAATTAAATAGTCTTACCACAATCACCACAGAGCATTTGTGTTAGAGTTGCTGTGATATATATATATATTAAAAAAACGAACTAGAGAAACTAAATAACCCAATCTACGGTTTGCATTTGGGCATTTAAAGTCAGGTTTACACTGTGAACATTCTAACACAGGTCTGATGTTAAATGTACGTCTCACATTTTTCCAGCCTGTTTTGCCAAATCATTTGTTTTTTAAACAACACAATGTTCTGAAGCTGATGAGACAACACATTGTTTATCGTTCCGGTATTAACATGAGTCCTGTTAATGGAAATGCTTCTCCTTTCCCTTCCTACAGGGAATACCAGAGAGGAAAAGGAAAATTCTGGAAGAAGCTGTGGACCTGAGCCAGGACCATTTTAAGAAATACTTGGCAAAGCTCAAATCAATAAACCCACCCTGTGTGCCTTTCTTTGGTAAGATGAGATTTTTATATGGGCCGTCATAACTGCTTCACTGGTCCCTCTACATTTAAACCTATTTATCAGAGGTTTGCATTAATGGTTGGGTCTGTAGTTATAGTAGTAAAGGCATTTTATCTTCAACTGTTGAAATGGTTGTTGTTGACCATTAGAGGCATTTTCTGTCGTTCTCAGTCAGTTTTATTTCCCTTTTGTGGGAGGAAAGTACAGGTTTAGTTAAATAAATTGCAGTCTGTAAGGTTGCCATCACTTTAGAAGAGATGAGTTCAGTTTTTGAGTCGTGAGTCATACAGAGTGACATAGTTTTCTTACCATTGTGCATTTTTCAGAAGTTTTTCTTCATGTAAAAGACTCACGAACAAGCAACCTTTTTGTTGTGAAAGTGGCATTTTAGGGAGTTTACGGTTTTCCTGAAATTCCTGGACTAAAAAAAACTCCACTTTTACATTCTTTATTGTTGTATTTGTTCATACATGCAGATGTTTGCCTCTTTTGCTAACAGATGAGCAGCCATGTCTTGTTCTGTAATGGTTGAGGTGTTCTTAGATCTCCCTCTGCTGGAGTGTTTGAAAACTACCTTTCAATGTATGAAGCTATTTTTTTTTTAATTTAGTGCAGCCTGCTGTTGCTAACATCCTTTCTTCCCTGACCCTCAGGTATCTATCTAACCAACATCCTAAAGACAGAGGAAGGCAACCCGGACTTCCTCAAACGCCACGGCAAAGAGCTCATCAACTTTAGCAAGAGACGGAAAGTTGCTGAAATCACAGGGGAAATCCAACAGTATCAAAACCAGCCGTACTGTCTGAAGGTGGAGCATGACATAAGGGTGAGGCCTCCCTCACATCACCAGGATCCTCTTCCTCCTTTGAAACACAGTTTTTCACATCTTCAACTCATATCTTGTATTTATTTTTCTTCTGTCCAGAGGTTCTTTGAGAACTTGAACCCCATGGGCAACAGGAACGAGAAGGAGTTTGCCGACTACCTGTTCAAAATATCCATGGACATCGAGCCACGGAACTGCAGGCAGCCTCCCCGATTTGTAAGAGCTTGCATTCATGTTGCATTGGTGAACTTCATGTGAACATGAAAATATCTGCTGATTTATCAGCTGGTTTGTTTTGTTTTTTTCAATGCCCCGAGTATTAAAGAGTATATTTCATTCTTAACTTATTTTAAGTCTATATTTCTACCTCCTGCAGCCCAGGAAGACCATCTACCCTCTGAAGTCCCCTGGGATCAGGCCTGTGCGAACCTCTACCTCTGGCACCATGAAGGGCCACCCCGTCCCCCTAGAGAGGGAGCCCCCTCACAAGATCACCTTCCGTAGCATCGCTGAGACCGAGACGGAGACGCCGGCCTCAGCGCCCACCTCCCCAAACACGCCCACTCCCCCACAGTCGGCCTCCTCGGACCTCAGCTCAGTCTTCATGGATCACGACCTGAGCAGCTCGTATGGAGGTGAGATCTGCAGGAGATCACTTTTGGTGATTTTTGTCTTTGGGTAACAGAATGCTAAATCTTTTTTATGTTTTTGCAGGAAGTAATTCCGTTTTTGCGTCTGGTCATCTGCCTTCCCCTTCAAGTGAGTGCAGTTTTGAGATTCTATCTCCTGGCTGCACCTTACTAACTTTTCACTGAGAACTTAAAATAGACTATTGCAGTGTTTTATGTTTTGTGCGTTTATTTTACATCAGAAAAATCCCATGATGCACCATCAAACAAAAATAACCCACAAGTGTCTTTTTACTCACAATTTACTAACTCGGTGAAATCCTGGCCTGTTTAGTTGAATAGATGGCTGATTAGTCGCAGGAATTGAAGAAAGATCTTCAAAAACTGAGTCTCTCTTTTATTTTTTGAGTCATCTGCTGCCACCTAGTGGAAGAGTAATAATATGTTCTGCCTGTCACTGTCACATAGATAAAGATGTAACCCCCAGCCATTTTGACTTTGAGACATCTACCACATAGGCAGAACTGTGTCTTTCTAACTGATGAAGTGTGTTGTTTTCCCAGAGTTCCAGTCTGTTTCTTGCGGCAGCCTCCATCAGCTTGGAGAGGAGCTGCTAAAGCCTCCACCTCTGCCACCAAGAAGGAAAGATGCAATGTCTGAAGCCAAGGTAAAACCAACTGAACTAAACTGATAAACAATCTAATGAGATGAGACTTATAGTAGTTTTTATTTTTCCTCACAAAACATTTTTGATGGATGCGACCAATAACCTGGTGTAATGTTTTTTATTCATGTCTGTTTGTGTTTGTACCTTGAATTTCTCTCTTGTCTGTTCTTTTCATTCACTGTTCTTTACTGTAGTATGTTTGAAGGCAGAAAAACTTTTTTTGACATGACTCCACCATTGCACCGTTGTAATTGATTTATTATTATATCTGTCTTGCTTCTCTTTGTCCCAGTTGAGCTCCAGGTCCGATGGCCCTCCAGCCATTCCTCCTCGGTTGCCGCCTCCTCTACCCAGGAGTCAGCCTCGCCCACCGGTCTACAATGGTCCTCCCATGGACGGCCCCCTCCCAAGCCCGCCTCCTCCACCACCTCGTGATCCTCTCCCTGACACACCTCCTCCAGTGCCTCAACGCCCCCCTGAAATCTTTATCAACTACCCGCCCATGCAGCCTTCCCCCGTTGGTCGATACCACTGGGACTTTGGCAGCTCCCCGAGTTCCCCGAACACACCACCCAGCACGCCGTCTCCTCGCATTCCCAGGCGAATTCTCAGCGCCAGCCAGAACAGCCTTTGTCCTTTACCCATCCAAATCAACGCTCCACCCGTACCTCCACGCCACAACTCAAGCCCACAACTCCCCAAACTCCCACCAAAGACATACAAAAGGGAGCTGCTTCAGCCGCCACTGCACGGCCTCTCATTGGTGGAAAACACAGACAGTAGCCAATGAGGCAGGAGTCGGTGGCTTTAACATGCAAACCTTAAACTACTAGTGCAGTTTCAGCAACTGATCAGGACATGGATTTTTTTTATACTGTTAATTCTGCTCACCTTCCCTCTGCATCCACCAATCGCTGCCCTACCGTGCCTCTCAGGGGATCTGTAGCTCTGCCTTCACCACAAACCCTCTGTGCCACACCGGAGTGCCAGCAAATAAACAACCAGGGGTTGGGTGTTTTATACCTGCCTGTTCTTCTGACGGAGCTAGGACAATTTTTGTGCTGTTGTTCAGGCTGATGGAGCACTGTCAGAAGACAACAGTAACATTGAGTTAATCATGGATCAGGTTGTTCTCTTTGTCGAGTTGTTACTAAATTACAGCAGTTGGTTATAAAGCAAACCTCCAGGGGGCAGACTGTTACATCGTGCTTTCCACCTCTGTGCTCACAATATCAGTACATGTGCCATGCAACATGAATCCAGTCCTATAAGACATTTGGGCTGTCCCCTTTTTTTTTTTCAGCAAACTTAATTCCTGTTTTGTTGTCTGCTAGTGTGATCCAATTAATTAGCAATGGATATAGACAGTTAGACATTACTAGCAGGCAAGCAACACTACCAGTGAAGCAGTCCAAAAATGTCAGTCCTGATTAGTTAAAGCGACTTGCTCTTTCAGCTGTTAAATAAGCAAAAAATGACAGATGAGACCAAGGGAAATTTTTTGTCTGTATGTCTGTCTGTACTATATACTTTCTTCATCAATCTCCCACTGAAACACACACACAGTGGCATCTCCAAAGTAAATGGCTCATGTTGTATTATACTTGTGATGGTATTTTGAGCACAAACCCCAGATTTCTGCTTTAAAACCACTGGAAACGATTAGAAAATGCAGGACAACTCAGAACATGTCATTTTCTAGAATTGATCACCTTGAAAAACGGCAAGGGTTCTCCTTTAACTCTCCCCACCGCTCCCTCCTCTACTGCCACTAGGTTGCAGCAAACACAGAAGGGCCTTGGACATTTTAGCCTTAACTGTTTTCGCTTTTCCTTTCAGCATTGTTCTCACCTAGAGCCCCTCTGCAGCTCACACCGTTTGAACTCCTCTTCCTCCCCCTCCTCCTCCTCAAAATCAACGTAGCTCTTTGGCGGCAGCTGTGAGCAGCAGTCAGCAGATTTCCATCATCACACAATTTTCTTACAAACTAAAAACAAACAGTTGCCAAAGTCTTATTTTATGCAGGGGGAATAAGGGATGATTTTCTTCTCATAGATCTTTGAGACAAATGTGACATTAACAGCAGGAGGCGACACTGAGTCCTCCCTTGTAACTCAACTGTACACTGTGACTGTAAAGAGACGCAAGTGAAACTCTCTGAATCTTGTGGGATTTTTTTTTTTTTTTTTTTGGCTGAGGACTCAATTTTCTGCGACATGTTGCCTTCTCCTTTACTATATAGAAAAATCAACAGCGGTGACCTCTGACCCCAGGCTCTAGTCCTCTTGGAGAAAAAAAAGAGGGCCAAGAACACTCCATTTGCACATCGAACTTGG